TTTTTTTTTTTTTTTTAACAATTTTAAACATAAAAATATTCTCTCAGATAATGTTAGAGGCTCTAATCCTGTCATTGACTCTCATTTCGGTGAAATGTTTCCTAAAGCTCTGCAATTTACTATGAACACATCTTTTGCAAGGCTTGCTTTATCTGAAATTCCTTGTCACCTAAACTGTGAAATGTCCTCCAGAAAATGTTTTTGATTTCTTTTTTTTTTTTGAAATGGGTTTCTCTTGTTGCCCAGGCTGGGGTGCAATGGCACAATCTCAGCTCACCGCAACCTCCACCTCCCAGGTTCAAGCGATTCTCCTGCCTCAGCCTTCTGAGTAGCTGGGATTACAGGCATGCACCACCCTGTCTGGCTAATTTTGTATTTTTAGTAGAGACGGGGTTTCTTCAGGGTTAGTCAGGCTGGTCTTGAACTCCCGACCTTAGGTGATCCACCCAGTTCGGCTTCCCAAAGTGCTGGGATTACAGGCGTGAGCCATCACGTCAGGCCGTTTTTCATGTTTTTAACAGAAACATCAAGAGTATTACCAGCCCAGAAACCATTTTTACATTAATTTGTCTTAAGGTTTCCTGGAGCCTAAATGTCCATGCTACCTTGTTATCTCTTATGTTGGTACTAAGGTTTTCTCCAGTTCATTCCTTCACAGAATGTGCAGTCCTTCGACTCCATAACACATTAAGTCTACAATTTGTGTTAAGAGTCTCAGTTCCCATTACCTGTCATTAATGGTCCATACGTTTTATCTCTGGTCCTTATGCAGTTACTTGAGCAATAAAACTCAGGTCTCTAAAAGAGGTGTACACCTTCCTCTCCGGTGTAACTGGCAAGTTAGCTCTTTGCCTACCGTGCTGCCTCCTACTTCATTTTTGGCACTGGGGGTTTGTCCTTAGTTTTCGCATTTTTAAAAATCTTTGTAGATAGATTTTCAAGTTAATCGTGGTCTGCCATACTGCCAGAATGAGAAGGTATCTTGACTTTGTAATTTTATGTGTGTAACTAATCTGAATTTGTAAGGTGTTAGATAATTCACATTTGTAAACAGTATCTGAATATAAGATTCTGACTTATAATTTCTACAATTTTGATTTATTGATTACTTAAGTGCTTATATTTTATTAGGTTTTTTGGAGTGGTTGAGTCAATTGGATATATTAAACTAGATATATCAAACATATGTAGTCTGGAATGTTTAAAGGACTTAACTAAAATTATTAATGGCATTAGTTGTTTAGGGGGATTTTAATAAACATGCATCAAAGAGCAAGTCAAAAGCATTATTTTTATACAAAGTCAAAGGTATTATTTTTATACACTTATTACAAAACATATAAATAGTATACCAAGCCTAAGAATATAAAGTCTAGTTTTAATTAACTGAATGTTAATTTAAAAACACACATCTAATAAGTAGTCCTTTTCACACATCGAAAAGCCAATTTCGTATTTTAAAAAAAAACTCAAATTACAAAATAACAAATATCTGGTGTCTTAGTAGCTTCAAGATCAGTACTAACGATTAAGCCAGCTTATATGCTAATATGATACATGAAAAAGCCTGTATTTTACAAAGAGCAAACCACTAAAACTTTAACTTTCCACAGAAGCCATTGTTTTATATCAATAATTATGTTAAAGATCAATACAAGCTAAAAGTTTTTAATGAGCAGTGAAACAAACCATTAAAACTTGGTAAATTTCTCCACAAGGGTAGAATTTTAATTTGTTTAAACCATGGGTAGATTATGACACACACTGTGAGGGTGTACTGTAAGTACTTCTAAGCAGCTTTATCAGAATTCATCCCAAATTATGTACCTAGTAAAAGATATACCAATGTCTACTTGGAATAAGAAATTATTACTTGTTTGAACAAGGATTAAGCAGAAACTGAAAGAAGTGCAGTTTATAGCCTCTTACATAAAGTAGATGGGCACCCCTCAAAAACAAACCAATATCCTGGCTCCTTAAGTATCAACATTAATCTAAGTAACGTACGGCATGCTCCTGTCCAAACGTTCCCGCTAAGCTGTAGTCTTCTCAGATCGATGCTTCATTTTAGTCACACATTTCTATCCTGCAAGACTGGGTACCTGGGTTTTTTGTCTGGTTTTATAACACTAGGCAGGTTTGGCCTTACTCAAAACACAAGACTGCAAAAGGCCTGTTTCACCTCAACCATATGGTTTCACGAAACGTTCTGTATTTCCAGCAGAAAAGTGGTATCTAACTCTCATGATGGTTTCTAGCAACTGGATAGATACCTGGGTCTTTGCGGCCCGTGATGCAGCCTAACAGTAGAGGACCTTGTGTGATTAGCTAGGTCTGCTAAAGCAGGAGGACATCCATGTTCTAGACTTTTTATTCTGGTTTAGCAGGATCCAAACTGGCTGCCCTGAAGAGACCAATGCCTCTCTTTCTCTTCCACACAATGGGTGGCCTCTGCCAAGTTAACTGCTTCGTGGGAGGAAAAAGATTGCCTTTCCTTCGGTCTGCATGTTTTAAGGTAAATGCCACATACACCTACAGGAGCTTCTCAATAATAGATAGACAAGGCTCACTTTCAAACTCTTTCAGGAGACAAACTGGAGGGGAAGACGAATGGCAGGAAGGTGAAGAGGAAGCTGAATTACTAGGAAAACACCCCCAACTCCAGTCCGGGTGGTTACTGCAGAGTGAATAACGGTTTAAGTACGATTTGGTGTAAGGCAACGTCCTTTGAAAGGGCTCCCAGAGCGTCAAGGCCCCCACCTGATGAATGGGTGAGTCAGGCAGGCCCAGCTCCACTTCACGGATGGGAAAACTGAGGTACGAGGCGGCGAGATGACTGGCCCGAGGCCTCGCTGAAAGATCCGAGGCGGAGCGGAGAACCAGAAGCACCGCTTCTCTTAGGCTGATGCTCTAATCTCGGCTCCCCCCGCCCCTACGATGGCGTAGACGGCCTCCGCCCCCCGACTCACACACACCCTCCCCCGGGAACGGTAAGTCTCCTCGGGTTCCAAGGACAGGGTCAAAAGACAAGAGGCCCGAGGCGCTCCCGCCGTGATTTGCAGCCGGAGAGCGTTGGGAGCGTGCGTGCCTTCAGTCCAACATGGCGGCGGCAGCGGCCGCCCCCCCACCCCAAGCCTCCCTCAGGGCCGGAGGCTTCTCCTCAGGGCCCTCCGGTGGGCGGGAAGACAGACCAACCCCGCCAGGCCCTTCTCGTCGCTGCCGCTGCTCGCTGAAGGAGTCACCTACCCGACATGACTAACGGCCGCGGCGCGGAGGCCCCACAGCCCGCCGAGAACAAGGAATACGAAAGCCAGGCGGCGCGGCGGCCGAAGCTGTACTGAGGGCGGCGCAGCGGGCTGAGGCGGACTGCGGCGCTCCGGCAGCCAATCAGCGGACAGCGGGTGGTACCACAAAGCCGCGGCAGGAGGGGTGTTTCTGCGTTGGTACTAGCCGCCGAGCCCTGAGGCCTTCTCAGGCCCCTCTATTCCCCCCTCCGCTAGCCGTACCATTATTGAGAGGGAATTGAGAAGAGAAAGTACCAATGCCAAGATCACGACCGGGGAGGAAACGGAACCTTCTCGCTCCGTCTTATTTACAATCCCATTTCTCACTTTAGTGGGTCTGATGGAATTTGCGGTTAGGAAACGAAAGAGGAGGGACCTTATAAACACAGACTATTTGGTTATGCAAAGCTTTTCTTTCCCTACAATTTCGAATGGTACGTCCTAGCTGGCGTGCTTTTGCTGCAGAGTGCTTGGGCCACCTGGGGGCGTTCGGAGTCGGCGAGCTCGGGGACAGCGAGTCGTGACCAGCTCGCGTACCTCATCGCCTCCCGGTTTGTTGTAACTGTCTCGCCGAGTAGCAAACAAGGATACTGGAACAAAAGGGTGCCTTAAGACGAAATCGTACACAAATCTGACCCTGAGAATGTGGCGGGGCGGAGGGATCGAGCTTTTATTTTCAGCACTGTAACTATAGCTGACTCTTGTCAGGCACCTTACATCATCTCATTTAATTCTCACAACAGACTGATGAAATATTTTCCCCATGTTGCAGATGAGAAGACAGAATTCACTTGACCTAGGTCGTACAGCTAGTAAACGGCCAAGGCGGAATGTGAAGCCTGGTAACCCGACGCCATTGCATGTGAGTTTAATCAAAATGCTGCACGGCCCAGAGGGGTGGGCCCAAGGCCGCTTGGGCTCTGTAGCAGGAAACGGGCTGGAAAAGCTCAGAGAGCCAACAAAGACTTTTTCCGGGAGGGCATGGTATCTGGGCCAAACCGTAAGTGATGTGCAGAAGTTGACCGAGTGAAGAAGTGAGCAAAGTACTTTGCAGACTAGTTGTGGAACAAGTAGTTGTTCAGAGGGAGAGTAGAAGGAGATGATGCCCGAAAAGGAGGGGGTTAAATAGCTGCGGCCTTGTCAAATGCATTAGAGTTTGCACTTTATCTTGAAGGAAATGAGAACCACTCACCAGATTTAGTAGGAGAGGAGTTATATCAGATTTGTATTTTCTGGCTGCCAAATGAAAAATGCACGGAGATGAGAGGTGCTTAAAAGCAGAGACCAATTAGGTGGCCAATGCAGTAATTTTGGTGAGAGATGATAGTGCCCTGGACTTAGGTAGTAGCTCCGGAGACAGAGGTAAGGGAAGCGATCCCAGAGATACCCCGGGGTAGACCAAACAAGAGCTGGTGATCACCTGGGTTGGAGAGGGTAGTGGAGAGAGAAGAGTCTGGGGTGAATTCTGGGTTTTCGGCGTAGACATGGGGTCCCGGTGGTAGTGTCATTGACTGTGATAGGGAACAAAAAGAGGAGCAGGTTGCAATGGAGGTGAAAAGGGAAGTTCAGAATTAATGCTTTCAGGTCAGAAAAAAGACATGAGGTCATCTCTCCACCGTTATACCAGCAGTGATCGTGCCCTCAACTCTAGATAAAAAGGGTCACAGAACGCTCTAGATAAGTTCAAACAAGCAAGACTAAAGGAATTAAAAAGTATTTCATGACTGAAAACCATTAAACTGTTTAGCATATATATTGAGGAAGGCAGCCCAGCAGAGAAGATGGGCATGTCCAACAGAAGAGAATTGGGTTATGGAGGGGAGGGGAAGAGGTAATTCTAGAAGATCCCTAGAGGGACCTAGAGGGTTGTTCTTTTTTGTTTATTTTCTTTTTTTGAGAATTTTTTCAAAGAAGGAAACACCAAAAGTGTTACTCATCGACTCCTTAAGTTTGTACCACCATTTATTCATTCATTCCTCCTTCAATTGCCATCTCTGGAGGTTTACTATGTGACAGGCTCTGGAAGGCCTTGGAGAGACAAAAATAAGAAGGAGAGCCTCTGCCTTCCAGGAACTACAGTCTCATAACAGGAACAGTGTGAACCTGTGATTTTTTTTTTTTTAACTTTTATGTTAGGTTTGGGGGTACATGGGAAGGTTTGTTACACAGATAAACACATGTAACAGGGATTTGTTGTACATGTTACTTCATCACCGAAGTATTAAGCCCAGTACCCAATAGTTATCTTTTCTGCTCCTCGACCTCCTCCTGCCCTCCCCACTCAAGTAGACCCGAGTGTCTGTTGTTTCCTTCTTTGTGTTCATAAATTCTCATCATTTGGTTCCCACCTATAAGTGAGAATATGCAGTATTTGGTTTTCCGTTCCTGTTCGTTTGCTAAGGAGAATAGCCTCCGGTTCCATCCACGTTCCAAAAAGTTTCTTGTTGTCTTCATAGTATTTGTTTCCGTATTTGCCTTCCCCTACTAATGTACCAACCCTCACATCATTTGCCCTGAAAAAAGTCTTTAGATCGTCTCAGAGGCTGCGTGTCTGCTGACCTGCTGCCACCCGCACATCAGGACCTGCACTAACTCCATCTTGTCCTGCCAAACCTGTCATTTCTTTTTTGTTTGTTTGTTTTTTGTTTTTTGAGACGGAGTCTCGATCTGTCGCCCAGGCCAGAGTGCAGTGGCCGGATCTCAGCTCACTGCAAGCTCCGCCTCCCGGGTTTACGCCATTCTCCTGCCTCAGCTGCGCGAGTAGCTGGGACAACAGGCGCCCGCCACCTTGCCCGGCTAGTTTTTTGTATTTTTTAGTAGAGACGGGGTTTCACCGTGTTAGCCAGGATGGTCTTGATCTCCTGACCTCGTGATCCGCCCGCCTCGGCCTCCCAAAGTGCTGGGATTACAGGCTTGAGCCACCACGCCCAGCCCAAACCTGTGATTTCAGTCAACTGCTGGATATGCTGGGATTGGAGGATGCAGTGTGTGCTCTGAAAACACAAAAGCAGGACACCTTGCCCACACGAAGGGTGGGGGTATCAAGGAAGGCTTCCTGCAGGAGATGCCCCCTAAACTGAACTTTGAAGAAAGTACAGGAATTAGGCAGCAAGGATATACTAGGAACATCATGCTCCAGGCAGAAAGGGCTGTATTTGCAAAGATTGGTAGAGAGCAAAGATCTGGGAATTACAAGTGCTTCAGTCTGGCTGGTCTATGGAGTTGCAGGAGTGAGGAGTTGTAATAAATGGAATGAAAGAAGTAGGCAGAAGCCACGTTCCAAAGAGCCATGTGTGCCTTACAGAGGAGTTTGAACATTAAATTTAAAACAATGGGGAACTTCTGAGGAATATAATCAAAGGACTGACATTTTCTATATCCATTATTTCTAGAATGGGCCTGTGAAACAGGTAGTGCTGCTATCCACATTTGGTCAGTTAGGACACTGCAGCTCAGGGAGGTGTAATTCTTGAGCAAGTTCACAAAGCTGATGAGAACTCATGCCCAGGCCTTTGGATAATGCTCAGTGTTCTTTTCGCAGTGTCCCTGTTCTCCCACACTTGATGCAAAGAACTCCTTCCAGGTCTGCATTGCTCTGGGGCCTCTTTCCAAGGGTCCTTCTCTACCACAGACTGACTCATAGATTGATTCCTGTGCCCTCCTGTAGTGGAGTGACTCCACTGGAATGGTTATCTGCAACAAACTTTTGCCATCACCCAGGCTTTTTTTTGTTTTGTTTTGTTTTGTTTTGTTTTGTTTTGTTTTGTTTTTTTTGAGATGGAGTCTCACTGTTGCCCAGGTTGGAGTGCAGTGGCATGATCTTGGCTCTCCACCTCCCAGGTTCAAGCAATTCTCATGCCTCAGCCCCCCGAGTAGCTGAGATTACAGGTGTGGGGCCACCACACTCAGCTAATTTTTGTATTTTTAGTAGAGACAGGGTTTCATCATGTTGACCAGGCTGGTCTCAAATTCCCGACCTCAGGTGATCCACCCGTCTGGACTTCCCAAAGTGCTAGGATTACAGGCGTGAGCCACCGTGCCCGGCAATCATCCAGGCATTCTTCATGCTGCAGGATCCTGCTCCCTCTACATCCTCTCTCCTGGCCTCAGTCTGCATATTTAGGGAAGACAGCAGGTACATTTTACACATCAGTTTTAGCAGAATGTATCTGAGAAAGTCTTCAGGCCGGGCGCAGTGGCTCACGCCTGTAATCCCAGCACTTT